CACCCAGCCCAGACACCGAGAGCCACCAATGCACCAATGGCAAGGGGGTCCCCCGCCAAAGGGGGGCACGACCGGGGGGAGTGGGCCCCACACCAAACGTGGGGCCCAAATTGATCCAAGAGAGGGGGGACCACCAAAAACCCAACCTGAGCAACCAACAGGCACACACAGATAGCCCGACAGAATCTCTGTCGGGCCGACCGCATGCACCATCTACCTGACAGCGACCACAGGCCGGCCCCAGCCCAAGGGGCAGAGCAGCAGGGAGCCGCAGCTGAGGAGGGTCGGCCCTCACATCAAGAGCCCCGCACCATAGGCCCGGAGACGCCCCAGCACGCCATCTATGCACCCCCCCACACACACAGCACCCCCACCGCAAATGCCACACAGGAAGACCAGCCAGTGCCCTGATGAGGCGAAGCCACGCCCCCAACCGCCGCCCTACACCACCAATGACCACACGTACACTACCATAGCCGACCCCCCGCCTAAAGCCGGCAGCCACCCCGGTCAAAGTGCCGGCCATCGCAACCAGGAACCTAGATTAAAAGAATCGGAACAGCCCAGGAGGAACCGAAGCACCGGCCCCATCACTGACCGCCCCCAAGGCCCAAAGCCCACCCACAGCCCAGACCCCAACAATGTGCCCCCCTCCCCCCCCATCCCAGACCCCTAGTGTCACACGGAGAAAGGAGGTGTTTGTGGAAAAAAAAAAAAAATCTATATATGCATAAATAAATTATGAACAGACCTACTTCCTCCTCCTCCCACTCGAATATGGTGTTGATGCATGTTGTTATACAGTGCGTTTAAAATGGGGGGATGAGGTGGCGACCGGCACAGACCCACCTCTTGCCCGGAGAGCAGGCGGTGCCCGTTCACCCCTCATCTCCGCCCAGAACCCTAAATGTCTACATGCTACATATGAGAGTGGGCACAGGTCTGGGGAGGTGGAAATGGTAGTACATCCCACCACCTAAGTGCGATCATGTGCCCACTCCAGATCCTAAATATGCATGTGTCATGTGTCGTGAGAGTGTTATAAACTGAACGTTTTTGATGACCAAACCATAATCAGTCAACTAGCTGACAACACCACAATCTTGTTGAAGAGTCTAGACCAAACCCCCAAAGTGCTTGAGTTAATCATTTTCCAAAGCATCAGGATTAACTTTAAACTTACAGAAATGTGAGCTGATGGCGATTCACAACTTTAATCTCACAGAAACTTATGACATTAACTCCTCAGTGAAACATCCTGGAATCCATATATCCAAAGATGCTAAACTCATTGACATTGTTAACTTGGAGAATAAAATGCAGAACTTCAAATCTCAGGTAGATGGCTTCAAAGAGATCTGACACTGATCGAAAGAACCTTTTTGACCAAAATGGAGTTGCTGGCTCGATGTGCTACATGTCCTGCATACTCTATGGCCATACCCATCAAATACATTAAAGCTATAAATCAGTTCAACTTTAATTTCATCTGGAAAAATCGAGTCCACTACATAAAAAATAAGGTGACTTGCAAGCCATTGACTTTAAATGTTTAAATATGGTCTTAAAGTTAAACTGGTTGAAGCCTTTTTTAATGAATGTAAGATTATCTGGTATTACCTTCCCAAAGGTTGGTTTAGAACAAAATGGAAGCATAGACTTTGTTCTCATGACTTTTGTGTCGACAGACTCCGTGTTAATCTATCTTCTTTTCACAGACAGGCGTTGTTACGTTGGAAACTTAGGTACTCACATAATTTTACGCCGCACCAAACCTATCTGATTCCTCCTGAATCCCCACCTCTTATCTGAAATAACAGATATGTGCTACATAGAAATAATTCTTTGTACTTGGATCACTGGATGGATAAAGGCATTTGCTCCATAAGACATTTTCTAAATAACCATGGAGGTTGACTGTCCTATGAAGAATTTTGTTTAGTATATAATTTAAACTGAACTCTATCCTGCCTGCAGCCAAACGTCTTGTTCAAAATCATAATTCAGTAATAACTGAACACAATTGATGAACTGAATTCAATTACTCAGTCATCCAAACCTGCACTTCAAATGTATGGAGTAAACTTTTTGGATAAACTCTAACAAAGTTAAGTCAGGGCCTCTGGACAGATTCAAACAAATAAAATGTAAAAACTTTGTTGAAACGTTTTGTCTTTAATCCAAAAGCCTTTGTCAGTCTGAGGAGCTGCAATAAACTCAGTCTTATAAATAATACCTAGCTGTTCACATGGTAAAGGAGGACCATCAGCCTAGCGACTGTTCGTTAGTGCTCCGGTGGCCTTATAGCAAGCCGCTATCCGAGCACTAACGATGTATGTTGGGGGAGTTGAACCGGCGACCTTCCGAGCACAGGCCCACCTTCTCTAACTTCTGCAAATAATATTTGATGAGAACTAGTGCACCTATGTCTTTATTTAGTTTATCATTATTACTTATATATTTTTCATTTAGACTTTGTTTAATTGTTTTTACTTCTGACATATTATTACATCCATCTTATACTATTATTATTATGTGTTCATTCATTCATTCAGTCAACCTTTATGTATACAGGTTAATCCCATTGAATCTCTTTTACAAGAGAGAAAGAGTGATGACACAACAACAGACTGTCATAAAAGAGGCACACTATTTTTTTTGTGCCTTAAATATGTGCAAACTCATGTATTTTTCTCTCTTGATCACATGCCACATGGTTTTGTACAAATGTTGAATATGTTTAATAAAAAATAAAGACAGTCCGAGCGGCGCTGAGGTTTGATCCTCCGCCCGCAGGAAGCGGCTCTCTCGCGCCCCCTCGCGTGCACATATCCCTCCTGCACACGTCATCGCTTCAAGTAGGTATCTCTGCAGCCAAATTCTGAAGGCGTATCTGGGCGGTCATATCTGATTGGACTATAGGAAAATGGGCGTATCTGGGCGATCATATCTGATTGGACTATATGAAAATAGGCGTGTCTGGCCGGCCGCATCTGATTGGACGATAGAAAAATAAGCGTGTCTGGCCGGCCATATTTGATTGGACGATAGCAAAATAGGCGTGTCTGGCCGGCCACATCTGATTAGACGATAGAAAAAAAGGCTGAACGATAAAATGCCGAAACCACTGACACATTATGTCTAAAAACAAGGTGTTATTGGCAGATTGTGTTAACCACAGGCATATTATGTCTATGGTGTTAACCGGTTCGACATTAGCGGCGTCTCAGGTTCAACACTGGCGGCGTCTCGGTTCGACATTGCTCCAGTATACTGCCGCGGCGTCTCCATAACTTCTTTTTTCGACTCTCTTAACACAGAACTTCCGGTTACATTTCAAAATAAGAGCAACATAACTGGGTAGTGGGGAGAGCTAAATGTTAGGTTTTTTTTAATACCTAGCCATAACATTAAAAAACAAATTCCATTTTGGTTGTTGAAAAATGTGAACAAAGTTACAATCGATTCATAAAGAAAGAAAAATATTAATGATACTTAAACTGGCCTTGGGACAAAGGAGGTTTCCTTTAACTTCACATTGTCTTGTTCAACCTGCAGTCACTACAGATGAGTGATTGTCAGTTTCTGTAAGATTTCTGCACCTGGAGCAGGTATTCTGTTTACTGGTTAACTTCCTCAGCTGTCTCACATTTTAAAGGTCAACCCTACTCCATGTTTCAGTAGAAAACAAGCACATTTAGGAGTCAGTACATAACCAGACTTTTGGCCCTCACACCTATACCCAGTTGCTCATGCTGCATGATGAGATCAGATTTATCCATATTTTAGAAATTACATTTAACTTAGTCAACAAAACAATACAAATGAAGACTGTCTTATAAAAAGCTCTTGGTTTTGCAGTAAGCAGCCTGATTTCAAACTGACATCTTGGCCAAAGGTAAAATAAAAATCTTTGCGTTCTCAGAAAAGTTGTTTCAGGACCTCCAATAAACTTATGTACACATCAAAGCACACAAGACAGATTCAGGAATTCTCTTTGTTTTCCAGATTTCACATTTGTTATTACCTTAAAACATACTCAGACAACATTTGATGCATCATTGAATTTTTTTATTGTGTTTATTGGGACATCCATTTTTAGAAGTCATCGTAGCATCTGTTGGAAACACAGAACATAGCACAGTTAGGGTGTTGCTAGTTGTTACTTAATCCTGGATTGGATTTTAAAGTTAATTTTGATATTTTTTTCACAAGAAAAAAAAAGTTGATTTCCTAAAGTTTAACTATAAATGAAGGAATTTGTGCATTCAGGTAATTGAAAATTAAGTAATTTCTCTAACATCCAACCCATTTTAGCCACTGAGCCATACCAAACACCCATAATCTATTCTTGAATGAATTATTGACTATTATTGACAAATTACAGACTTTTTATTGAATAAGTTATTACTCATTATTGAGTAATGAAAGTCAACATCAGATGTTGGGCAACATTGTTGGGCAACATCTTGGGGTCTTCTAGAGTCAGTCTGAAGTGAGAGTGGTCCCTGACATGGCAGAAAGACATAGATATAATTAACAGCTTTTATTTATTTATTTTTCAGCTAATAACAACTTTTATTTATTTGTTTTTCATATTTTTCAGTTATACACAGCTTTTAAATATTTATTTTTCAAGTATTAAGAACTTTTATTTTCAGCTTTTATTTTGAAAAGGAGCCGAGAGGAGGCTCACTTTACCTCAGTGCGTTACGACAACAACGAGAGAACGGTCGAAACTATCGTGACCTACAATAAACGTACTTCAATAAAATGCAAAAGTGAAAACATAACATACTTTATAAGTACAATAAACCATATTTCTTTGTCAAACATCGCAAAGAAACGTTACCTCATCAATGACTCGTGACTTTGAGGGTTACCCACAGCCAATCAGTGTTCGCCGCCGACAAACGCCTATTAAATATTGTTAGCCAATCAGTGTTCGCCGCCCATAAACGCCTATTCGCCAGAAACGCCCACTTTTGGTCTGCAGAGAACCCCTTCTCCATCGCTTCATACGGGAGCGGCTCCAATCTCTCACAGCGGCTGCTGCCTGCTCTGCGACTAAACTGAACATCCTCAGAGGTGAAGGAGCAGCGAGACGTGTCCAGGTGGATGAACACGCCCTTTTATCCACTTTAAAGTCAAGTCAGGATGAGCCGTGCAGTTATTCTGACAAAAGAGTGCGTTAGCTTCGTTAGCTAACTGCTAAGTGAAGGCACAGACACGATGGGAGGGTTCCTTCAAGATGTCAAGATGGACAAGCGGACAGCGGCTCTGCTGACGACAGCGGCCTGCGGCTTGGGGGTTCTGCTGGTGCTGGTTCGGTCGGTCAGCAGCCGTCGAGCAGCGAAGGTTAAGGTCCAAAGAGCCAGGAGCCGAAGGACGGAGAGCCTGCAGCGAGCGGAGCAGCAGGTGCTCCTCTTCAGGCAGACGGTGAGGGTTCGATCCCAGGAGGGGACACCATTTCTCTTTTGATTAAAACACACTTATAGTTTCTGGGACAACATGTCAACACTCAGTCAAGTCCGAGCTTTATACCCATTTCACTCAGTGCTGATACAAAGGTACAAAGTGCTTTGTCAATAGAGCGGTCAATAGAAACATCAAAGCAAATGTGTTCTTGTTTTTAGTATTTTACCTTGTTTTATATGACATCTTGCTTTGACCGTGTTTATAACTTTTTTTAATTTTAATTGCTTTCTTGTTGTTGAATTATTCTTGTCTGTACTTTACGTTGTCTGTCTAAAACAGATCTCTTGTAAATGAGTCCTCAGGGCCAGATTAACACTTCACTGTACCCTGGGCAATAATCTTCAAGGGCCCCATCTTCAGGACCCCAGAATCACCATAATCTGTCAAAATACAGAATAAATGACCATAATATACAGTAAATATGCTTAAAATTCTATCAAGTGTATTTTGATGTTTAAAAATCCATATGATCATAGAACTATAAATGTTTTGTCCTCTTGTTGACGCAAATCATAAAGACTGAGTTAAGTTGAACGCACTTTGAACACCATACGGCATCACATATACTTGTTTAGCAACGTGTTGGCCACTGTTGTCAGAAGCATTTGTAATGGGGGGGGGGGGGGGGTCTAGGGGTCCTTCCCCAGAAAATTTTGAAAAAAGTAGATGCCATTTCCTGCATTCTGGTGTATTTTAATAGTTGTTAAACATCTAGTTTTACCTACATAAGTAAACTTGATTCAATTACTATTTTAGAGTTAATGGTACAACAAGAAGTAGCCTGACCAACAGCTGATTCAATGAATTGAAAATATTATATATTCAAAGGTGACAATTTGATGCCCACATTAAATTGAAATGACTGTAACTTAGTTGACTTCAAATGCAACAAGATTATTAATGAATGTTTGAGACAAAGATTCCTTCAAGAAACCTCCCATTATAAATCATAAAAACAGAATGACTTCTGCTCATTCTAAATTTGTCAAATGGCCTAAATCTCCTAAAGTGAAGGAGAATCATTTAAAAATAATAAATAAGATATATCCTGTAGCCATGTTTCTTGAAATAAGATTTAAATTTGAGGTTGATTTGTGTGCCTTTTGTAAATCAAGATAAATCCATCGAGCATTTTTTAGTTTAATTTTTTCATGTCAATACGAAGTATTTGGTCAGACATCAGAAACTGGATTAATCTCAAACTTAACATTCCTTATTTTCATGCTGATGCCATTTTAAAAACGACAAGGTCCTGTGGAACCGGCGTGTCCAGCTGAGACTCACGCTGTGGGGTACGTCATGGATTCGTGGGGAGTGTGGCAATTTATGTACATCACAGTCCCGTCTCAGGAGGATGTTGAAGACGTTTACATATTTGGACTTATGTTAGCAGGGACTCTGCTTTTTGGCATCAGCGGGGCTCTGTTTTATCGACTTTTGACAAAGACATTGGGAGCAGTTTCGGCCATGGAAAAGCTTCTGAGTCAGTGTGAAGGTCTGGTCCTCGCTGTGGGAACTTTAAATCCTCTGGTCTACGAGCTTAACCGTAAGGTGGAGGCGATTGAGAATCGCAGACCACCTGCGGCTTCTGGGACTCGTCAGTGTGGTGGGTTCGACCTTGAAGGAGACTCATAGCATGGATCAGTGGAATGGAATCCCACAATTAGGCATTTTCGGAACCAGAACGCCCAGATGGACTCAAGGCTGAAGAAAAAAATCTGTCTGCCTGAAGAAAAACAAAAATCAAGCTTATCTGAATCAGACTCCTGACGGCCTCGGAGACGGGCTGACTATCAAATATCTCCTGGGACATGTGTACCCAAGGACAAAAGCTTCATCTACCCACCCCCATTAAATTTTTATGTTTATTTTTTTTCTCTTTCATTATTTTGTGAAATGTAGTTATGACACCCTTCACGAGTTTGTATTTGTATATTGTTGCATTGTTCTGTTTTGTGTTGTTAATAAAATTCTAGGAAAAAAAACCTGACGGGCTTGTCAGCAGGTAAGGGGCGTTTACCTTCGGGACAAAATGAGGTTGTCGATTGGTCAGTTGCTGACACGCCTACTGGATTGATTGACATGTTGCACCGTTTTTTGGTAAAAAAAAAAAAAACGAGAGTTGTAGCAGCGGCGCTGGGAGGAGATGGGGCGTCCCAAATGCAGCGGCAGCGCAGCCGTCTCTCTCTGCAGCGCAGGGCTCCAGGTGATGACCAGATGCTTTGCTTCTGCCCTCACTGCTCTGCGCCCCTTAGAGATTGTGGGCCCCTGGGCAGTTGCCCAGTTGCCCATATGGTTAATCCGGCCTTGAATGAGACTAACCTGTTTAAATAAAGGTTGAATGAACATTTGCCCTTTGACACATTGGAAATCTTGTGCAGAGCTCTCTCTGTCATAGTCAAAACCACTGAAACAACACTAAATAATTAAAATGAAAATAATAACAAAGTGTTTTGTAGCTGCACAGTACAGAGAGTAAACCATGTCACATGACAAGTGAAGTTAAGGTAGTGCAGGTTTATTGCACTGTATCAGTAGTTTTGTTTTGCCTTCAGTCTGACTGTCGCAGGGAAAAAAAAACATTAAAAAACCTTGCACTATCAAGTTCAAGTCAATTTTATTGTCATTCACATCCCATGTGATAGAGGAGGAATTATGTACTCAGGGTCCCGGTTACACCCAAAAATAGCAAAATATAATGTGCAAAAAGAAACGGTATATAAGGATCTAAGATATATGCTAAACGAACGCCAAATGGTATGCTAAAAGATCTGAGATATGGAGTTTGGCGTTTGTTTAGTGTATATCTTACATTCTTATTTACAGTTTCTTTTTATACTTTATATTTTGCAATTTTTGGGTGTAACCGGGACCCTGAGTACATAATTTTGTTCCACCTCATATACCACATGTGATGGAAACGACAATAAAGTTGACTTGAACTTGAATTTGATACATGCTAAATAAATACAGATAATGTAAAAAAAATTCAATTTAACAACATCAACCCTAACATGAGTCTGTGGTGAGCAGATGGGTATGAATAAATACAGCAGCATGAGATAATCAGCAGCATGAGATCAGCAGCATGGATAATCATCAGCATAGATAAGTCACATATCACCAATCAAAGTGGCATTACAGCAATTTTTTTTCTTAGTGATTATTCTGGTTAGATATTCATGAGTCTAACAGCCTCAAGATGGAAGCTGTTCCTCAGTCTAGTGGTTCTACACTAAATGCTCTGTAACCTCCTGCCTGAGGGGAGCAGGGGCAAAAAGTGTGTGTGCTGGGTGAGTGGGGTCCTTCATGATGCAGGTGGCCCTCTTCCTGCATCTAGAGGTGTAAATGTCTGTGATGGTGAGGAGACTGACTCCAACAGTCTTCTGTGCAGCCTTCACCACTCTCTGCAAAGCTTTTCTTTCTGCAGCTGTGCAGCCTCCATGCCGCACATTGATGCTGGAGCACAGGAGGCTCTCCACTGCACACCTGTAGAAGGAGGTGAGGACTGAGCTTCCCAGACCAGTTCGTCTCAGCTGCCTGAAGAAGTAGAGTCTCTGATGAACTTTCTTGATCAGGCTGGTGGTGGTGTTGCCCCAACTGAGGTTGTTGTTTAGGTGTACACCCAAGTATTTGTAATTGGAGACCACCTCCATTTCCTCCCATGTTCGGGGGGGCGTAGGGGTGTTTGCTCCATCTGAAATCCACAGTCATCTCCATCTTTTTCACACTGAAGGTTGTTCTTCCTGCACCAGCTCTCCAGGTGTTCCACTTCTTGCCTGCAGCTGGACTCATCATTATTTGTGATAAATCCCACCACCTCTGTATCATCTGCAAACTTTACAATATGACAGCCTGGTTGGGTAGGTGTGCAGTCATATGTGAGCAGAGTGAACAAGAGGGGGCTCAACACACAGCCCTGAGGGGAGCCAGTGCTGAGGGTTATGGTGGAAGAGGAGAAGTTGTGGATCCTCACAGACTGCAATCTATTGGTTAAGAAATCCAGGACCCAGTTGCAAATGGAGGGGCTTAGTCCTAGTGTGAATAGTTTGGCCTTCAGGGTTTGGGGGATCGTGGTGTTGAAGGTGGATGTGAAATCCACAAAGAGCATACAGACGTAGGAGTCCTTCTGCTCCAGGTGGGTGAGAGCAGTGTGGACCATAGAGGAGATGGCATCTTCTGTTGATCGAGTCTTGCAGTAAGCGTACTGATGAGGGTCCTCGTTGATGTTGATGGTTGTTTTGATGTGGGTCATGACCAGTTTTTCAAAGCATTTAGTGACTATCGGGGTGAGGGCTACTGGCTGGTAGTCATTCAGACCAGTCACTGCAGAGCGCTTGGGAAATGGGATGATGGTGGTGGTCTTCAGGAAGGTGAGAACAGTTGCCAGGGTGAGGGAGGTGTAATGGGTGAGGATGCTACCCATACTACTGTGTATGGGTTATATGAACACTTTTTGTGTCTGATAGGAGAGTGAGCTGGATGGAGTGAGTCCTTGATCATTTCTGCTGCTCTTTTTTTGACAGCGCTGTACGTCCATCAAGTCCATGGAAAGAAGATTAGTCCCTGGGATCCACTCCTCCTGATAAAATGTTGGCCACAGCAGAAGACACATAATTTACTACGAAGCTTAATTTAACCAGGGAAATCCTATTGAGATTACACATCTTTCTTTAAATGGAGGTTTGAAGGATGTGGGATTGTGGTGAACTCTGCACAGATGGACCCCATGCCCAACCCTGGGCTAGTACCCAGGGCCTTCCTACTATGGGGCAACAATACCAACCACTAAGGCACCTTTTCTTTTTTTGTCCTCTGTTTACATAATGTCCTGAACATGGTTGTTGATGGAACAGCATGTTACTGGCCTACAATCATTAAATGCTTTCATTCACTCAAAATCAGTAAATTTAACATTTTGAATAGCATCAAAGAAAATATGTGACAATTATTTCTTAGCAGCCCTTTAATTCACTGTGTAGCTGCCAGAATCTGTTCCTAATGACTGAAGCTAAAGACTTATTTACGTCCATTCTGTGAATGCTGGTTCATGTCTATAACTGGTAGATTAAAATGTTTTTGAAGTATTAATTTATTGCAGCACATTTATTTTTGTTTTTGTGGTCTTCCAGCATCCGTCGACTGACTCTGATCACATCTTGTCTCTGTCGCTGTCCGAGTTGACAAAGCAGCTGCAGGACGGTTCTCTGAGCGCCGACGATGTGTTTTACACATACATGGAAAAGGTATAGTCTGCAGAGAGGCACACAACTCTCTCATCACATACCAATGCTGCAAAGCAGCTGCTAAAACCAGTAATCACTTCAATGATTCAGTGTTTTTGATAGTATTATTAGTTTGATTTCTACTGCACATTAGTCACTGTAATTCCTGAGTTCAAATGCAGATTCTTGAAAAACCTTTGATAACTTTATCCCTTTTTATTTCTTTAGCATGAAATAATTTCATGTACATATTGTAGGTATTTTTTAAGAATTACATGATAAATTCTTCACAGCCGCTGCCTTTTTAGGCAAAATGTGTAAATGTGTGTCTGTTCTATATTTCCTCTTCAGACTCTGGCTGTGCACAAGAACCTGAACTGCTGCACAGAAATCCTCCTTGAGAGTTTTGATCAGCTGAAAACAGTGGGCTCCAACAAGAATGGCCTCCTCTACGGAGTTCCAGTTAGCATCAAAGAGAATATAGCAATTAAGGTATCTGTATCTGATAATTAAATGAACATGCAAGCTCTCCAGATGTGGATTGTTCAAGTTTTACCACTTTGATGTGCTGTTATCGTCTCTGTCCTCTTCTCTGCCTCATTTAACTGGTCCCTCTGTACAATCAAGGGTCAAGACTGTTCTTGTGGTGTGATCATTAATCTGGAGCAGCCCGCTCACAAAAACAGTGTGATTGTTGAAGTTCTGAAGAAACAAGGAGCTATTCCTTTTGTGAAGACCAACCTGCCTCAAGCCCTGTTAAAGTAATGTTGAACTGTGGCGTTTGTCGTCTCACAAGCTGACAACATGTCTGCATTCATCCTGCTTGCTCGTTCCTTATCTGTGTTTGTCTTTCCTTGCATCACCCACAGTTATGACTGCAGTAACCCCATCTATGGGCAGACTCTTAATCCCCATAATCCCCAGAAGACCTCTGGAGGTTCATCTGGTGGAGAGGGGGCTCTCATCGGAGGAGGGGGTTCCATCCTTGGCATAGGCACTGATATAGGGGGGAGTGTCCGTATTCCCGCCTCGTTCTGTGGGATTTGTGGCTTTAAGCCAACTTCAGGTCGGCTCAGGTGCGTCAGCTTCAATGTTGAGGATTATAATCGCACTCTCAGTCAAGTTAACCTTTCCTTTGTGTCATGGTCAGCTCACAGGGGCTTGTTCCAATTTATCGAGGACAGAAGTCTGGTAAGTGTTGACGGTGGCCCATGTACATTAAAAACCTCACATGTGATTCACTTTGCCGTGTTTCTTGTTCTATTAGTGTTGTCATCTTCTGGGCCCATGGCGAGGGATGTGGACAGCCTTGCTCTGTCCATGCAGGCTCTTCTCTGTGATCATATGTTTTCCTTGGACCCCACTGTGCCACCATTACCTTTTAATGTTCAGGTATGTCCCCTGGTGGAACATTAACGCCTTATCACACTGTTTTGCTTTTTATTTACAAGACCCCTCCGTTGGGTAAACGCATTGTAAGGAGCACAGATCAAATTAAACATTTTCTTCCTTTTGTAATCACTGTATAAATAGAGAAATTGCATTTTCTGTGAAAGTGCAGTGTGGATGCTTATTGCTGAAGAAGTTGCTGAGAAACCGCTGAAAATAGCTAAAACATGCTGACATGTAGCTGAAATGGACGAACAAGCCTAAGCAGAAGAAATGGAAAGAACGTACATTTGTTGAATTAGGTTTAAATAAGCAGGAATTGGCACAAAAAATAGCTCAAAAGTAGCTCAAAATAAAGAAAGAAGCTTAAACTACCAGAAGGAAGTGGAAGGAGCTGAAATGAGCTCCAAAAATGTGGAATTGACTGAAAAAGCTAAAATTAGCACAAAAAGCTAAATAGTACCTGAAATAGCAGAAAAGGCTGAAACTAGCAGAAAAAAGCTGAAAGGAGCCTAACAAGCTGAAATGATTAGAAATAAGTTAATTGGGCTGAAAGTAGCAGAAATTACCACAAATTTTTTTTATCTGAAAACAGCTGAAATGGTATAAAGGCAGTTGAACAGGTAGAAAGAAGCTTAAATTAGCATAAGAAAGCAGAAAGAACATGTTAGCCTAATTGGGCTGAAAGAAGCAGAAATGAGCACAAAAAGTGAAAATGATCTGAAAAAAGCTGCAATTATCAAAAAACAACTGAAAGTAGCTAAAAATCAGAAAAAAGCTTAAATTACCAGAAGGAAGTTGAGAGAGCACTTTTTTTTAGCTGAATTAGTCTGAAATAAGTTGAAACGAGTACAACAAATGTAGAATTAGCTAAAAAGGCTAAAATAAGCATAAAAACAGCTAAATAGTAGCTGAAATAGCAGAAAATTTGTGGAATGACCTTTCATTCATCCATCCATTATTTTACCCACTTCTTCCATTTTGGGTCACCGGTGCCCATGTCCAGCAATCACTGTGCGGGGGGCGGGGGGCACCCTGAACAGGTCTTCAGTCCATCACAGGGACACATAGAGACAAACGAGACAAACAACCATTCACTCTCTCACTCACACCTAGAGACAATTTAGAGTTACCAATCATCATAACATGCATGTTTTTGGTCTGTGGGAGGAAACCGGAGTACCCGGAGAAAACCCATGCATGCACAGAGAGAACATGCAAACTCCACCCAGAAAGGCAACTGGACCGGGATTTGAACCAGGGACCTGCTAGCTGAGAGGCAGCAGCTCTACCAGTTGTGCCACCGTGCTGCCCGTCGAAAAATGTACGGGAGAAAAATGGATTCATTTAGTGTGAATGCTTCATAAGCACTCACACAAGATTTCTGTTTCCTTGATCAAAACCATCTGCTTGAACACGGCAGTAATCTTTTTGCAGTTCACATATATTGTGTGCACATTGATCTAAGTATAAAATCGTCATCTCGTGATTTAAAAATGCAACTTTTCAGAATATTTTCCTCGTAATAAAAATATTTTTAGCTTACTTCTGTCTGCACAAACACCAAACTTAACTTGGTAAAACTTGAGGCTCATTCCAGTTGAAAAGATTTCGATTTGGACTTACAAATAAAATTTAGAGCCTGTTTTCTGTAACTTCCAGATGTTTTTAGGGCATCTGTGCGTCCTAAAATGATAACGACCTTTTTGTACATTTTTGTGTGCACGTTATGCACAAATCAAAGAAAAGCTCCTCTGCAGGCTTCAAGTCTTTATAGCGTTTATGTTATACACTATTTGTAGTGTCGGCCTTTTCATCTAATGCTCAGCAACCTACATAGTTTTAAACGAGCTTCTTATTTTAAAGTAAAGCTTTAAAATTGGTCTAAATTTCTCCCAACAACAAAGTCAGATGTTTTGGATTAGGAATGTTTTCTCTGTAATCATTGTAAAATCTAACGTCAGCTTCGCATCAGTTTGTGCCAGAAACATGTTTTATGTGTGAGTTTAGATTTTTAGGCTTTGTAAATAATGTCCAAGTTTGCTTGAATAAGAACCAGGGGTTCCCAACCCTGGTCCTTGAGGAACACCAGCGTGTTTTAGTTGTTTCTCTGCTCCGACACACATAATTTTAATTAATGGGTGATCAACAGGCTTCTGCAGGAAGTAATTCAATCACTGAATCAGGTGTTGGAGCAGAGAAACAACTAAAACATGCAGCATGGTGTTCCTCAAGGACCAGGGTTGGAAACCACTGGTTTGAACCATACAAACAAAGTGCCAAAGGAGGTTGTTTTTTGTTTTTTTTAACAAAGCATGAGTTTCATCTGTTTACAGGAATAGGCAGAAATCATCTTTATCGATTATGAGTTTTTAATTAAAACAAATAATTTCTTGTCATGATAAAGAAGAGTTAAAACAGTACAAGGATGTTTCAGATCTATTTTAATTTGTTACATATTTTATCTCTTACCAATCGTAGAAAGCTCTAAGTTTGGATAAAGAGTTTAATTTGGACTGGATTGATTGAGTCTGGAGATTAAATAAAAGCCCTTAATATTTAATACTTATCCAAAAATCAAATGTTTATACAACATCTTACTCAATGTTTTCGTTTAATATATTTTTCTCCTTTTTTGTGTAGATATACCAAAGCTCCAAACCTCTAAGAATTGGTTATCTGGAATGCGATGGCTACTCGCAGCCCTCTCCGAGCATGGCCCGCGCCGTCAGAGAGGTCAAAGCTCTGTTAGAGCGAGCGGGGCACACCGTAAGGCCACGGCCCACACACGATGTTCACAAATTTATCAATCACATCTGTGTAAAATATGTGACGTCTGTCCTTCCAGCTGGTGCCTTACCAACCTCCGAGGTTGGAGCAAGTTATGTGTGAGCTCGTAGTGCAGGCT